GGAAATAAATGACAGAGACACACATAAATAATACAAAAGATCAATAAAACAAAGAGCTGGTTCTTTGAAAGGATAAACAAGATTGATGAACCTCAGCCAGACTCACCAAGAAACAAAGAGGAAGGAAAATCAGAAATGAAAGATGTAAAGTAACAACTGACCCCACAGAAATACAAAGGGTCATAAAAAGAAATACTATGAACAGCTTTATTCCAACAAACTGGACAACCTAGAAGAAATGGACATATTCCTAGAAAAATACAACCTTCCAAAACTCAACCAAGAAGAATCAGAAAACCTTAATAGGAGGATACCTCCTATGAAATTGAAGTAAAAAACAAAAACAACAAAAGCAAAAAAACAACAAACTTCCAGCAAACAAAAACACCAGTCCAGACAGTTTCATAGGGGAGTTTTACCAAATATTTATTTGGTTATTTATCAAAACAAAAATAACATCTATCCTCCTCAAATTATTTCAAACAATCCAAGAGGAAGGAACACTTCCAAGTACTTTCTATAAGGCTAGCATTATCCTAATACCAAAACCAGATAAAGACACTACAAAGAAAGAGAATTACAGGCGAATATCATTGATGAACATAGAGGCTAAAATCCTCAACAAACTTTTTGCAAATCAGATCCAGCAATACATTAAAAAGATCATACACAATGACCCAGTGGGATTTATTCCAGTAATGCAAGGCTGGTACAATATTCACAAATATATAAATGTGATACAGCACATAAACAGATTGTAAGACAAAAATCAGATGTTCATATCAATTGGTGCAGAAAAGCATTTGACAAAATACAACACCCTTTTTTGATAAAAAGTTTCAGCAATATGGGAATAGGGGGATCATACCTCAAGATAATAAAACCCATGTATGACCAACTTACAGCCAATATCATATTTAATGTGCAAAAACTAAAAACATTTCTCCTAAGAATAGGAACAAGACGGGGATATCTGCTTTCACCACTGTTGATCAACATAATAGTGGAAGTCATAGCCATAGTGATTAGACAACAAGAATAAATAAAAGGCATCCAAATTGGAAAGGAGGCAGTAAAACTCTGATTATTCACAGATGACATGATACTGTACATAGAAAACCATAAAACCTCCACCAAACTACTACTAGATTTAATAAATGAATTCGGAAAAGTAGCAGGATACTAAATTAACACCCAAAAATCCATGGCATTTTTAGTCACCAATAATGAACTCTCATAAAGAGAAACTAA